ATAAGCTCCTCGTGAGAAGAGATTAGTAGGAACTCAATTGCTAGTTGATTTCTAATTCCACTCAGACACGGAAAGGAGCTTGTTTTCCTAAGGCCCAGAACTCTTGGGAAGGCTCAGAGCCCTTGAGTCTCTACGATACTGCATGAAAAGCACTTTAACAGACAGTGTGCTCAAAAGGCTACAGTCTGGGGTTGCTTTTGCAGAAAACATGTCCTTTCCTCGGGATATCGTTTTCCAGAGGACTCGAGCACCCCAGCCCACCCCACAAATGCACACAAGCAAAGCCAGAGAAGGAACACGGAATGAGGTGGAGAGGCATCTCCACCCTTGGATGATTTGCATCCAACACACAGGCCAGCCAGGCTCACATCTGCTGCCCTCCATCAGTCACTACCGTTTCTTCCTAAAATGTTTACACTGCTGGCACACCTGCACATTTGTTCCTCTAAGTATGGGTTCTTTCCTGCTCTAGGGCTGTGGATAGACTTCACAAGGTCTGTGAACACCCAAACTGCCTGCAAACTGTTATGTGTGCAACATTCTCTTGTGAGAGGGTCCGTAGCTCTTATTAGATTCTTAAGGAGGACCATGATCCACAGAAGTTTCAGAATTCATTTGTCCTTGCACATATGAATTAAATATAAACCCAAGTGCCCTAGGTGTGCGCAGATGCCTACGTGTGTGTCCTTGCCACTCCAGAAATCTCCAGGAGACAGGACACTCAACTAACAAGCTTTCCTTTTTCCTTCCACATTAAAAAACAATTTTTTTTTTAAGAAAATGTCATCCTCAGGACATATAAAACTGAACCAGCAAAGACAAAAAACTTCAAAAAAATCAATTATCCATTTAGTCACTGTGAAAAGTCTATCTTAAAACCCAGAGTCTCAGGGAATGTCAAAGCTCTGGTTAAATTTTTAATAAACTATAAAAGATAATGTTAAAGAAAAGACCTTTTCAAAGGCAAGCTGGTGACAGACAAGCTCTTGAAATGACTCTCATCAAAGGGCATGAAGCTGGTGGGGAAGTGCGGGCAGGTGAGCTTCTCTTCAGGCTGGAGTTAGAAGCTCCAGACTCAAGGAATGAGCCCCCCAGGGAGGGTCTTTGGAGACGCGTCTATTTGTATTTAGACCCTTGGTGATTTCATTCACTGTCATGGGTTTAAATAACACGCATACGCCAATGATTCACACATTTATCCCTTCAATCTGGACTTCACTCCCCAACTCCAAACTCGTACATCCAACTGCCTAGACAGTATCTCCACTTGAATGTCTACCAGCAACCAAACCTCACAGTCCAAAACTGAATTCCTGATGTTCCCTCCAAAACCTGCTCCAGCTGCAGTCTTCCCACCTCAGTGGACGGCAACTCCATCCTTGCAGCCGGTCAGCCCTGAAACCTCGGGCTCCTTCTGGCTCCCCTCTTTCTCTTACATCCCACACCCAATCCATCAGCAAATCCCATTGGCTCCCCCTTCAACAGACAAGGATGGGAGGCCTTCTCACCACCCCCAGCACTACCACGCTGATCTGAGCCACCATCGTCTCTGACCTGGATTCCTGCAGTGGCCTCCTCACAGGTCTCCCTGCTTCCATTCTCGCCCCTCTAAAGTCCAGTCTGAATTCAGCACCTAGAGAGAACCTTCTAAGGCACAAGTCAAACGGGGTGGGGTGGCTCATCTCCCACAGAGTAACAGTGCCTCTGAATTCCACCTGGGGCAGGGCTGGCCTCCTTGCCCTCACCTTGTACTCCTCTCCCTCCCATTCCCCTGCTCCAGCCACATTGGACTCCTGGCTACTCCTCACAGGTGCCAGACAGGCTCCTGCCTCAGGGCCTTTGCACTGGTGGCTCCCTCTGTCTGGAATACTCACTGTCCCCCAGAGATCTTCATGGCTGACTCAAATGCAAGGAGGTCTCAATAAGACCCATCCTGACCACCCTACTTAAAATTGCGACACTTTCTTCTAACACTCTGTATCTCCTCCTCTGCGCTGTTGAACTTTTTCTTTCATTTTAGCATTAACCACCTGCTAACACAATACATAATTCACTTATTATTGCCATGTTCATTGTCTATCTCCCCTACTATAACAGTTACAGGAGGCCAGGGGATCTTGGTCTGTTTTATGACTGATATAACTCAAGTATCTAGGGCACATTATTAAAATGCAATTAATAAAGGCAAGACTGGGAAAGAAATTTCCCTTCAAACTTCTCGATCCAGGCAAGCCAGCTGCTCTCCAGTTTACTGAGCCAGTGACTACCACCACCATGCTCCTGGTAAAGACAGCTCAGCTGAGATTCCTCTGAGCCACTCGATCCTCATTTCAAAAGATACTTCTGCATTCACCAAAAAAGAATTACAAGGTTGAACTTGGACTTGGACATGCCAAAGATCCAGAAGAGGGTGTCTTGTTAGGGAAGAAGAATACTTGAATCCATGCTGATTTAGGATCATCAAATTTTGGTGTCATTCTGCACATCTTCCTACTAACACATCTTTGTTTCTGGCCTTAATCCACGTTCTTACTAGAGTCAATAAACATTTAAGAGACTGTACTCGGCCTCTCCCTGACCTTCTCTCAAAATGAGCCAGGAAACAATTCCAGTTGAGCATATGGGACACAGTAGGGCAGTGGCAGGGTGGTATGAGAAAGCTGAGTACTGGGTACTTACAGTCCATTGCTATGAAATCTGGATCTTACAACAATTTTTGTTCTGCAGGTAGACAGAGAATCACCACAGGATACCTCAAGCTAGTATGGTTATCTCTTTTGGCTCTAAACCCACTGGACAGATCTTCATTCTTTTTCAGCTGGTTAAAGGAGTCTCAAATGGCAGAAAGACAGTGACTGTTATGACTGAAGAGACAACACAAGTAACTTCTCTTTCTCTAATGATTAGCATTTAACAGGTTGACAGTGCCTGTGGAGGTTTTCAAGCTGTCCTCCGCAGAGCCCTCGGTCTTGCAATGCGCTATTTAAGATACTGAGGGTGAACGTGACCAGACCCTCCCACCAGGACAAGTCCACGTTGCTCCACTTAGTGCACTGGCGTCCCACATAAGACTTTATCTCAAGGCATACAGAATAGGAAGCTCAAGAAAACCAACCCAGAGAGCTTACTCACAACCCAAAGGGAAAGAGCCAAGAGGGAAATGAGAAGAAACAGATACTGAAGACAAATTTGGGGCAAAGCAGCCTATATGATAATACATTAGAAATTCCTAAGATCAGGATAGAAATAATAGAGAAAAGTGCTTCTCATCTAGAGGAAGATCTGAGCTTAAACAGTAATTGGACGCAAAGTGTTCTAGACAGATTTAATATATACTGGAGCATATAGCATATTGAAATTTTCATTCTTTGAAGATGACCAAAAAGTCTTCATTGTATAAGCAAAAGAACATCAAGTTACCCACAGAGGAATAAACTCGGTTTGGCTGTAGCCTTTGCTTCCACAAGTACTGAAGCCAGAAGATAACAGAGCAACATCTATAAGAGCTTCAAAGAGAAATATGTGCCTCTAGCAAGCTTGGCCCAATCAAGTCATTGCTCCTGTAACAGGGTCACAGGTTGATATTATGAACTCTGCAAGGACTCAGATAATATATCAGCCGGGGATGCTCCCTGAGCAAGGTCATTCCTCAAACTCGAGTTTCAAAACAATGAAAGATGGATCAGAATGTTTAGGAACTCAAGATGAGGAAATCACAGCTGGAAAGGAGGGCAGGAGAATTGTTAATGCTAATAACAACTACCATTTTTCAACTGCTCATATGGCCCAAGCAAATCTGTGTGTGTGTGTGTGTGTGTGTACACACACACATATCTCATCTTATTTAATTATGAAAATAAATGTAGTTTATTTTGTAAATAATATCCCAGTTACCTCAGTAGTAGCATTATCCCCATTTCACAGATGAGAAGACCAAGGTTCAGAAAGCTCAAGGAATTTGTCACGATAAACTAGTGAGTAGTAGAGCTAGAATTCCAAAATGCAACCCAAGGAGTTCCTCTGGTTCCCTTGATTTATTTTTTTTATAATATCTTTATCCTTTTTTATGCTTATCTGTGTTTTCTAGTTACTCTAAAACATATATTATTTTTTAAATAGAACATCAATAAATTTTTTTTCTATTAAAATAAATCCAAAGACACAAAACAAATTACTCCAAAATACTAAAAAGGAAAGGATTGGTAAGGACAGTTCAGAAAGATGCCCATGTGAAGAAAGCAGATATGGCAAATGTCAGTGTTAAACTCTACTGAATTCAATATTTTAAAAGAGCATTAAGCAGAACCAGAGACGTCGCATGTTTATAAAAGGCACACCCACAGTGATCATGCAGTGGTTATGAATTTATGCTCGAAATGACTTGGTACCAAAGACGTAAAGAAAGGAACTCACAGGTGGAAATAGGAATGAAACTGTTTGAAGTAACTGGAACAGAAAGTTGTCTTTTTTTTTTTTTTTTGGTGAGGAGATCAGCCCTGTGCTAACATCTGCCAATCCTCCTCCTGTAACTGGAACAGAAAGTTGTCTTTTTTTTTTTTTTTTGGTGAGGAGATCAGCCCTGTGCTAACATCTGCCAATCCTCCTCCTTTTTTTTGCTGAGGAAGACTGGCCCTGGGCTAACATCCGTGCCCATCTTCCTCCACTTTATATGGGACATTGCCACAGCACGGCTTGACAAGCAGTGCATCTGTGCGCGCCCAGGATCTGAACCGGCCGACCCTGGGCCACCGCAGCGGAGCGCGTGCACTTAACCACTTGAGCCACCGGGCCAGCCCCCAGAAAGTTTTAACATAAAATGATCAATCCAGAACAAGTAACCCAAAAAATAAAGTCAAGAAAGATTTGCACTCCCTCCCCCACTCCCCTCAAAAAAGGACCGGCATCATGATTGCCGTTGCCCCTTTTCCAGCCAGGCAACTGAGCTGACAGAGCGCCTGTACCTGTACGCAGGGGCTGGACGGCTGGGGGCAAGAGCTCACCTGGGACGTTGTGTATGGTGATGGCCAAGATGAGCAGCACGATCCTCCTCCAGCTGCTGCCGCCGGGCTGTGCCACGTTCCCTCGAGAAGGCACCGGGCCAGCAGGGCCCTCTGGCAGGTCGGTGGCCGCCACCTTCTTCCTCTGATACGCCTCCCCATTCTCACTCTTGTCTGAGCAAAAAGAGAGGGAGGGCAAGAGACAGTACTCTGAAAACGTGCACGCTGGTACCCGGACAAGCAGCAGCAGGAGGAAGCTTTCAAGACCTGGAAATGGCCTACTTCCTAAGTTCCTAATGGACCGTGTATTCTTCTGTTTATCCCTTCATCCCTCAGTCCTTCATTCCCTCATTCATTCATTCAGCAAACATTCATTGAATGGACACTGAGTGCCCCATGTACAGGTACTATAAAGAGTAAAAGAGATGAAAATGGGATATCCTAGCAATGCCTATTTAAGAGAAATTGAGTAGTGATTGGGAGCACAGATTCTGGAACCAGGCTGCCTGGCTCACTTCCTGACTCATCCACTTATCAGCTGTGTGATGCTAAACAAGCCATTTTACCTCTTTGTGGCTTAGTTTCCTGATTCACAAAACCGGATAATAATAGCACCTACTCCGTGGGGGTTTGTGAGGATTAAATGAGAGACTGGACGAAAGGGCCATGTGTGGACTGTGGCTGTTGCTACGTGTTCCCTCTCTCCCATAGCCCTAGAGAATTATGTCAGATGTGACCTGCTCTCCCGGTCACGTTGACTCAAGGGGAACTGATGAGATGCCAGGCTCAGCCAATCAGATTCTCTCCCCAGGGAAGCGAGACTGGAATGTGGGAGGACTCGGGACTCTGAATCCGAAAGGTCATGTAGTGTAAGGGCAGTCACGATGGACCATGCAAGAATGGGACGAGGAAGGAGCTTGACAGACAGACAGAAGGATGCAGATGCACATGGACAGAGAGGGGAAGTCATGCAGCCACAGAGAGAGAGAGAGAGAGGAACGTCAGCCTGTGTGCCATAGGACATTCTGACCCTCATGGGCCAACTACAGTACCCCATCCATGGGGTTGGTTCATGAGCTAACTCTCCTTTTAAAAACTCCCTTTTGGGCATATATTTGAAGGGTGTCATGTCTTAGGGCCAGATTGTCCCAAATACCCACGGTCCCCAGGGTTATCTGTTTATCCCTAATGGAGGCAAATCGCCTGGATCTGAAACACAGAACAAGAGTGAGATAGAGGTTCTAGGCTGTGGCTCACAGCATGGGATGGATTTGTGGGAAAGGCTTCCAGGAAGAGGAGGGTCTTGAGCAAATCTTAAATAAAGTGGTGGCATGAATGGAAAGGAGGGTCTCTCTATCATAAGCACCTGCAAATTGTAACTTAGATGTCACAGACAGGTCACTAGCAGATTTTTAGGATCTCCACTGAGAGTAGGGCAACCACGCATCCGGGTTCTGGCTTTCTATCTGGCTTGCTATCCCAGGCAGTTATTAGTTCCCCTTGTCACTCTGAGACACGTCCTGATTTGGAAGATAAATTATGTGGCTCCTCACACTGGAGGAAACAGCAGAAGCCTGACTGATACTCTGCTCTGCTGGGGGACATCCTGCGCTGAAGTTAATGGTCATCAACCTGAAGGGTAAGAGGGATCTCTTGTGGTGTTTCTCTCTTTTTTTTTTTGTGAGGAGATCAGCCCTGTGCTAACATCTGCCAATCCTCCTCTTTTTTTTTTTGCTGAGGAAGACTGGCCCTGGGCTAACATCCATGCCCATCTTCCTCCACTTTATATGGGACGCCGCCACAGCACGGCTTGCCAAGCAGTGCGTCGGTGCGAGCCCGGGATCCGAACCGGTGAACCCCGGGCTGCCGCAGCAGAGCGCACGCACTTAACCTCTTGAGCCACGGGGCTGGCCCCTCTTGTGGTGTTTCTACTTCGTTCTCTATTTACACATTTTCCACAAGCAAAAGAACTCTCATCTCTAAGCTGAAAGCTGCAGAAAATTTTCCCAAAGTCAAATTAAGAAACAGGAGGCAACTTTGGGGATTCCTTTATCTCAGACCATGGCGTTTGGTCTGGCCTCTCCTCAGTCCTTGTTGTAAAGCAAGGTGAGGCTGTTTATCTCACCCCCTCAGGGGCTTCATTTAAAGACCAGAATCTCACTATGTAAACTTGATCAAATCTTTGATGCCCCTTTGGGATGAACCTGCCTAGGTGGAATACTGTTTTATATTTCAAAAAACATGCAAAGAAAAAAACCACTTCTTTTGAAAATCATTTTGTGTTTGTTTACTCACATCAAGCCAGTACAGCCTGAAGAGTAAGAAAGCGCCAAAGGGCAAGCAGACTCCCTCCTCCCCAGGTCCCAGTTGGTGCTTCCACAAACAGCTGAATCTCAGCTCTCGTAGGGAGAAGGGGCCTTTTATTAAGCCTCTGAAATGCAGGGAAGCCAGCCCTCCAATGGTCAGTAGCCACAAGTCACAAAACTGGCCTCTGAGAATGCAGCTGTCTCAAATGGACAATACTTGCATAAGACAAAGCCAAACAGTCACTGTGCGGAATCCACACTGTGTGTGTGAGAATGCGTGCGTGTGCGAGCATGTGATTGCCACTCGGAACCACCTTTGTTGCTTCTGATATCAGACAGCTTTCAAGTATGTTTGCACACGTGTATCTGTACACACATGGGGGATGCGTTTGTGCATTCTGAGTTGACGATATCTGATGACTCAGGCTGCAGAGGCTGATGGGGAAATTGAACTATACATCTGGGATTTCAAGCCCATAAACACTAAAGACTCGAGCAGAGCAGGCCCGAGTGCCGTCTAGGAACTAAGCCTCGTCATGGCGAAGGGCGCTGGGCTGTCTCCTGGACCAGTCAGTGAACACCACTGATTCCTTGGGCTGCCTCTGAGAGCACAGACCTGACCTAGATGCCCTCCAGTGGGAGTTGATAGGGGCAACAAAAACCCCAAAACTCTTCCCTTTGGGACTTCATAATTTAAGAGAGGACAGACAGGGAAGACACAAATAAATCCCTTTAAATCTAAGGGGCAGAAATGAATTCTCTAACAAGCGCTGAAGGCGGTGCTTATTTTTGTCAGCGTCACAAAGATCCGACTCTGAATCTCCTGCAAATAATGCACAGAGAGCAACAGAGATGGGGGCACCATTAGCACATTCCAGCACCATACGTGTGTTGAATAGGAACACTGAGAGGCATAAAGAGTTACTAATCGAGGTAAAGATGCACGCGTCGCCTTGGAGTCCTAATGTGTGAAAACTGATGTCGGTGCCGTCTCTAGTGGGAAACCGGAGGGTGTGAACGCATGACGTACTTGTGAAAGTTTAATAAGCCACCATTTGGTAACAGCCACTAATGAGTCTGCAGCAAGGAAAATTAGTCCAAATAAATCATTACAGAGAGTACGAATGCATCCTGAGCAATGAGTCTTCCTGCCACTCCTGGAAAGGCTGGTTAAACCATCGCACGCAACAGGTGAAACATCAGTGCCGTGGGCAAAGGGTGACTGGTTAATGGAGGCAATTGTCAGGCCTGAGGTGGGGTGTAGGGGTGTGCCAGAGTGACAAGAGCCGGTGAGATTTCTTGAAAGAGGAAAGGTTTGGGCACTTTTGAAGTAGGGGCTGGCAAAGAGGAAGGACATCTAGGGATGGAACAGCCGATGTCTGTCAAGTTCAGAAATGGAAAACGTCATCAGCAACATGGGCTAACAGGTGGTACTGAGAACTCATCCTCAATTAATCCTCAATCCTTACAAAAGCCCCATGAAGGAGAGACCATTCCCTTTAATGAATGAGGAACCTGAAGAGCAGAGAGGTGGATCACTGGTCCCAGGTCACACAGTCAGTCCAAGATGGATTCAGAAGTCAAGCCAGGTCCTTTGCCTCCAGAGGCCACCTCTTACCCAGGGCCCCGTGGCTGACTGGGGGTGGAGGGAGAGAGTGTTGATCTGCTCCTTTGCTCGCCAGAAAAGGTAGCAGGAGCAGTCCCTGAAGTAACATTTAGAAGCTTGAAATCTCAGATGTTTAGTTCAGAGATATTTAGGTTGCAGAGAGGGTCTGGTGAGCCGGCATTGACTGACACCAGAGGGGAAAGGGCTCAGTGCAAATCTCATATTTATAATCATTCCCACTCACAGACAAACCTGAAGATGTTTCATGAAAACATTGTTTCTTAACCCACTAGACCTACTATCTCTAAGTGTAAAGCAGCTGTAAGTAGAAAATATTTATTAACACCAACTACGGAACACAGGGTTACAATTCTTTTGGGAAAGTAGAAAGACTTCAAAGTTGCTCAACATCAAAAAAAATTTTTTTTAAACTGGAGCATCTATGAATCCACACAAAGAAGGCACCCCCTGCTGGGGCTCAGCCCGTCATCCCCCCACTTCATCTCTCCCGGAGAGGCACCGCGTTGCCTCATTTGAGAATGAGGACCACAGGGGAACAGACAGACGGAGCCAAGGCTCACTTTCCCTGCTGAATCACAGGGTGACCTTATGTGACACATTTGCTTCCTGGTTTCCTCTGCCCCCAAACACAGGATGTGATTCTTGTCCCAACACATTGCCTCAGAGAGCAAAAGCAGACCTGGTCCGGCAGACACAAGCTGGGGGGCCATGAGCCAACCCTGCTGCCTGGGAAAGCCCCCTCCCCCTGAGGGCTCCACTTCCTCCCCTGTGAAGTGTTAAAGGCCTTGATCAGTGGCTCTAAACCATTTTGGATCAGCAACTGCTTTTGAAAGTACAGTGGAAGCTACAATCTTCTCTCCAGCAAAACGACAGATGATTTTGAAATAATTTTTGAATCCTTATGGATGTAAGGACCTCAAACTGAGAACATCTTGCTAGATGAATGCCAAGTTAACCTTTGCTTTCACAACCCGTGGGACCGGTCCCACCAGGGAGGCAGGATGTTTGCTGTCCCCGTGATGATGTAATTGACCCAATCTAATAGGACCGATGACGGAACCTCAGGCTCCAATGAATACGGCAACGCTGATTAACAGATCACCAGCCTCGAGAGCTTCAAAAATATCCCCAAGATATCACTGGAGATGATTCGGTTGAATTAGCACAAATAGGCAAATCCTCATCTGCTCAGTGCAGAAAACTTCAAACCCCTGGAAAAATACCTTCTTCCTAAACCCGTT